CCTGTCTAGGTCCACTAATTGTATTGGTGATCTGAAAGTAGGTCCACATAGCTGCTGACCATACGTTGTATGACCTATAACTATGTTGTGCCTGACCGGCTTTTAGCCATTCTAATGATATCTACATCATAGAAACATCCAATGTCCTATCATGTTTCACTATCAATCTGGACCTTTCCCAATCTTATTTAAACTGTTAACTGAAACTTGATTAGTCATCTAACACTTGGATCTGCATAAAAATGAACAGTATTTAATAATCGGCGTCTCGTTATGGGGAAACTCCGATTATTTTCGTTTTGAGTAAGTACAGGCCTTAGCTTGATTGTATTGGAACAGAAACGAGCATATCAAAGTTGATAGGCGTCTAGGTATATTCTCCGAGCAAAGTTAATAGGTGGATATCTAAAATTAAACTAACTGGTAAAAAAAAAAAAAAATGGAGAATTCCTAAAGGTATAAATTATTTTAGAAATTCAGATTAATGGATGAATATGATGAGCTGTTGAAAACACAGTTTATAAAGAGAATAATTTAATATATAAACAAAAAATAGTAGATATTAAAACAATCTTCCTAACGTGTGTGGAAGACCCGTAAGCTTGTGGTTTACAGAAAACTTTTTTTCCCGGTTCTTTGTACCTTCCTTAACAATAGGACTATGTGCTGTCGTTGATGGTATACGGATTTAAACTCGTCCAATCAGCACTTGGGAGACTTTTCTGATTTATGCCATTACATGTCACGTTTACATGTTTCTGATTGGTTATACATTTTGTCATGATCGTTCAATAACTAGATAGCATCATGTCAGGCTTTGCTCCACAATCAAAGGGGATTTACCACATGAATTTTGGTTGTGTAGTTGTAAATATTCAACATGGTAAGTTGATAAATATTAATAATTTTAGGATGTCAACTGCCTCTGTATAGGTAAGGTTTCCTTGTGGACATTCAATATGGCTGCGCTCACTGGAGTCTGCCATATTTGGAGATGAGATGAATTATCTACCAACGCTTAGTTGTAGATTTTTTTTTATTGCGCATAAAGAATTAACTGTTGAAACCCTGCTTGTTCATCAGTAGTTTATATAATGTTATATTTCCCTAAGACTAACTTTTAATCACGTCCTGTACAGACTTTCAGTAAGAAGTGTGTAACAATGTAAGATATGATGAGACCTGGTACTGAGCGAAAAGCCTCATCGGCAGCGATATGCAGTATACAAAATGTGTGGTTTACATCTATTTATATTACTCTCATCTTATTGGAAACCTGTACTGGATCAGTATTAAAAAAAAAATGGTAAAAATTTGTCACCGATTACAAATCAAAATATTTTATATTTCATGACTGTTTTTATTTAACTTGAACTGTAGGAGTTGTTTGTATCCCACAATGATCCCGAATTTCATATTTTCAGGAGGAGTTTTAGGTCCACTAAACCTTAACTTACACATGTTCTAAACTGTTAATCTGTGTTTTTAACTTTTTAACCGGAACTGGCTCTTGACTCCCAGTTTTTGGGTCGCGGGTTCGAATCTCGTCACTATCATCAATGGGGGCATTATGTGACGGCCAATCTCGTTTGATAAAGAATAGCACAAGAATTGGGGTGAGTGTCGTTAATTAACCGACTTCCTTAGAGCAATCGAAGAATTGGGGGTGACTGATGTTAATTAGCCGACTTCCTTAGAGCAATCCAAGAATTGGGAATGAGTGATGTTAATTAGCCGACTTCCTTAGAGCAATCCAAGAATTGGGAATGAGTGGTGCTAATTAGCCGACTTTCATAGACCACAAATTGGCTGAGTGAGTGGTGTTAATTAGCCGACTTTCATAGACCACAAATTGGCTGAGTGAGTGGTGTTAATTAGCCGACTTTCATGGACCACGAATTGGCTGAGTGAGTGGTGTTAATTAGCCGACTTTCATAGACCACGAATTGGCTGAGTGAGTGGTGTTAATTAGCCGACTTTCATAGACCACGAATTGGCTGAGTGAGTGGTGTTAATTAGCGGACTTCCTTAGAGTAGGCCAAGAATGGGTGGGTGAGTGGTGTTAACTTCTTTGTAGTCTTATCACGTCAAAATTAAGGACGGGTAGCGCATATAGTCTTCGATTAACTTGTGCGAACTTCAACAAACTTCTTAAAAGAACCCCTTCTGCTCGGTCGCAAGTTTGTCTTATACTGCTGAAAATAAAAAAGAATCGGGCTTCGATACTCGTGTTGGGCAGAGCACAGACAGCCCATTGCGTAGGTTTGTGTTTAATAACAAACTTCGTATCTGCAATTATCGAAGACAAACGATGATTTTATTGCCAAGAAAACTTTTGTGATTTTAAACACGCTACACATCAAACTCTCGGCTATTTCGCGAGATTCAGTTATATTACGTCTCTGTGTTCGTTTCTTAATTTTCCTTAGAAATTCTTTCCGAAAAACTT